ATTTACTAATGATTTCCTGATACTGCTTGTAAAATGCTGCTCGGGGAGAGTGGGTTCTGGGAGAAAGTCCCAAATGTCCTCAAATAACAGGAGGTTTTTTGGTCTTGTGAAATGCAGACATATCAAGTGGACCTGAAGCCCAATGGGTCCGAAATCATGGTAACAAATGAAAACAAGAGGGAATACATTGAGTAAGTATGGTTATGGAGCATGCCTGGGGGGGAGAAAGAGCAGTTGTACTTACAATTGACCCTGCTGCAATTCCTGTCCTTTGTACTGCACAAGAGCATCCGACATTGCTGGAAAAAAAACAACTTACTGTTAGTCGTTGGTTATATCCAGTCAGACGTAAGAACAAAGGGTAAATGAAATTCCATGCTTTGTTCTCCTGGAATTCCCCCCATGGAAACGTGCATCTCCAACGTCTGGCTTGAGTTCACATGTGCCAGAAGGTGCTCTCCAGCCTGACCTTCATCCCACTGTCCTCCTCTGCCAGTCACAGACCAGAGCCAGGATTCCAGTGCCAGCATTCCTAGCAAACATTGGCCAAATCTGAAACTAGGTTTATTTTCAGCTTTCCCAGTTCTTTCGCCTACCAGGATGTAAAATGCTAAATTCACTTATACCTGCTGGCATTTTAAATCAGGGCCTTTTCCAAGGTGAAAGACATTAAAATTGATACATTCATGCAAATTGGGAATTCATTTCCAGTGCCTGGATCTGGACCAATTCCATGCCTGGAACTGATTTTTTGTGCCTGCACCTGTGAGGTGTTTGTGCTGTGGGTGACTGGTAATGAAAGCAAGGTGTCCCTTTGATGCTGCAGTTTATTTCTTTATTCATAGGTGAGATGCTGTCCTGACAGCTCTCCTCAGAGCTTGCAGACTTTGCTGGGAATTTTTAATCACTCAGTGCTCTGGAAGAATAAAATGTCTGCTCACTTAGGTACCTACAGGAGCGAAAATATTCCCACTGTGATTTGGTCATAGTCACTGGGGTTTTAGTTCGTTTCTTCAAAATTCCATCAGCCACCAGCCATTGTATTGGAACAGCTTATTGGTGAAAGCTGCTTAGTTAGCTGAACCCTTGGCTGAGACCTGCTAACGAGTTTGTTTCCTGATGGGGTTTTGTTTCTTTCTGCAGCCTGGTCATCCAGTGGCGGTTTGTCAACAGAGTGCAGAAACAAATGAATGCCTTTCTGGAGGTGAGGCTCTTTAGCTCCTTTCTTTCACAAAAGTAGGGATTTTTCTTCTAACACTGATTTCTTACCCACTGGTGTCTGTGAAAAGGGAGCAGGGAGCTTGCAGGGAATGCAAATAGAATACTTACGTTTATGATTTTTCACTTTTATCTTGTGTGAGAATATATCATCTTTCCCTTATGAGAATAAGGGCATTCTCTTTCAAGTTTAATTATTTGAGATTGAAGTAATTTGGTCATTGATGTTTTTAATTAGGATTTATGTGGGATGAGAGTTTTAACTTTGCTCTTTTTCTTTTTAGGGATTCACAGAGCTGCTTCCTATTGATCTGATTAAAATTTTCGATGAAAATGAACTGGAGGTGAGTCAATTTGGTGCCCCAAGCTGACAGTTCTGTGACAGATGCACCATGTTCTGGGCTCTTCAGTCATCCATCCCTCTCCCTACGGGAATGTGCAGACACAGCTCTCTTGCTCAGAGTTGGAAATTAGATGTTTCTTCCTAATTAATAAATGTACTCATGGCATGCAAAGAGCTGCACTAGGGAGGTGGGTGAGGGTGTGCCTCTGCAAGCCTGCAAGTAGCTTAGTGGGTAAGTGCCATGTGCCTCAGCCAGTCACATTTGAGTTGCTGTCCCATTGTGGCAGCGTGCAGCCCTTGTGCAGTGACTGGAGTGCTCTGAAGAAGCTCTGTCTGTCCCCTGTGTGTGCACAAAAGACTGGAGGTCAGAGTCCTGAGGGAGTGCAGGGAAGCACGCACTCCTTCACACCCCACCCTGGTGTTTCCCTGCAGTTACTGATGTGTGGCCTTGGCGATGTGGATGTCAATGACTGGAGACAACACACCATCTACAAAAACGGTTACTGCCCAAATCACCCTGTTATCCAGTGGTTCTGGAAGGTAAGACTGGCACCACCTCTGACTGGTCCTGTAAGCGAAAGTTACTGCCCTTTTTTGCAGTCATTTTTCTTCATGCAAACTGCTAAGAATGGGGAGTGTTGTGCTGGGGGCAGGAGCTGCTCCCCTCTCACCCAGGCGAGGGCAGGTGGAGCTCTTGCTAGAGCAGCTCCCAGATGGCACCTGGAGCAGAGACCATCCATTGTGTCCAGAGAGGTGGCTCATACAAAAGGGGATTCCTGCTGGCTTTGGGCTGCTCTTAGGGCCCGTCCAGGCCAGGGCAGGAGGCCGAGGCTGACGGTGTCCATTTGCCAACAGGCTGTTCTGCTGATGGATGCTGAGAAACGGATCCGGCTCCTGCAGTTTGTGACTGGGACGTCACGCGTGCCTATGAACGGATTTGCTGAACTTTACGGTGAGCTGCTCGTGGCAATCCAGCCAGCCTGTGATGCACAAATGCTCATCTCTGAGCTGAGCTCCTTGGCATTATGCAAGCTCTGAAAACCGCTCACTGGGCTTGGAAAGAGAGAACCACATTCATGTTGCTTTAATGTACCTGTTACAGGTGAAGAATCCAGCCCACAATTGATGCCAACGTTTCACGTTAAAAATAATATTGAGGCAATGTCTGTAGTGTCCAGCAGCTTCTGTTTCATATGGTTTTCATTTTCACCCAGGTTCAAATGGTCCTCAGCTGTTTACAATAGAGCAGTGGGGAAGTCCTGATAAGCTGCCCCGGGCTCACACCTGGTAAGTCACCAAAGCATGAATTCCAGAGCTGCTCCTGCCAAAAGGGCCATGCTGCTGACCATTCTCAGCTCTGCATCAAACAGCATTTAATTCTGTGGGTCCCCAGTGCCTTCACAAACTGAGAAACTGAAGGATATTATTTTATTTCCCGCATCCTAGTAAGTGGATGTAATGAACTACAGCGAGTCAGACATCACCAAACAGCCATAAAAAGCCCATAAATCATTGGAGAATTGAAAACAAATGTAAGATTATAAAATAATTTAACCCTGGTTTATAGATTTTGCAAACATTGAAAGCATCCAGTACAAATTTGTCTTGCTCTGTTACATTTCAGAAATGTGGCTTTTTAAAGAAAAATGGTGCTGAATAGACTGTCAGTACAGACTAGGGGATCTTTCTGTGAAACTAATAATTCTATAGAATAATGAGCTTAAATTACAAAAAAAACAACCCTGAAAACAAAAGCACAAAACCTACCAAACACAAACAACAATACTACCCCAAACACATTCCAAAATCAACCCATCCTCTTTGGGTTCCAGTTGTCTGCTAGCTTTTTACCTTTAGAAGATTTACTCTTGGATGTTTAATCTTTTTCCCCTCCAGAGACCAAAGGATCTGTGCACTAAATCCAGAATATCTTTGCTGAGCTTCAAGAAATCAGTCCTTTGACAAAGATTGTTTTCCATCATCTAAATACAGTGAAGGGCTTTCTGTTGGCTTTTTTCCTGTCTGAAATGATTCTTACCAAATTCCTGCTTCCAGCTTTCCAAAGGAAGGCAGCACACAGTTACTGGAGAGCTCACCCTGGGCAGGTGTGAAGCATGCAGGGAACACTGTGGACCACAAGCTGTATTCCTAACCAAGACTCCTAATTATTTAATCTTTTCTAGTTCTTTAAAACCCTGTTTTCCCATAGATTATTTGAGTGACCCTTTGCTTGTCCCTTCCAGCTTTAACCGCCTAGACTTACCTCTGTATGAATCTTTCGAGGACCTGCGGGAGAAGCTCCTCATGGCCGTGGAGAATGCCCAGGGGTTTGAAGGGGTGGATTAACTTGGCAGCTGCCATTCCCTCTCCAAGCACGTTCTGCTGGCTTTGGCACCTGCCCGAGGGACTCGAGGGCTCGTGGCACAGCAGTTGCCCGGCGCTGGCTCTGGAGCAGAGCCCGGCAGCGCGGGGCCGAGCCCGAGGCTGGGGCTGGCACCTGGGGTGGCCTTGCTGATGTTCCCGCACCAGTTGTGAACTGATCACACCTCAGCAGGACTTACTCTATTTATGTTGTGCCTCTGTAGGCAAAGCCCTTAATAAATATTTTACACAATTTCTAATGGCAATGAACGGGATTAATCATTTTACAGGTATAGTATTACAACTCATGTTTACTTCTTAATTGATTTAAGCATTTTCAGATTTTATTTCATTACAATTAAATATCATATACTTGGAAAAATGAGCATTTTTCTTAATTTCATACCAGACTTTTTTTCAAAGCACGTTGAGCCTTGTGTTCCTAAACCAGGACAGTAGGAGAAAGCTCTGTTGGAAGCTTTACCTCCACAGGCTGTCTCTCAAAAGCAACTCTTCATTAAGCACATCACTGTTGTTCTGTATCCAGAAGTATGGGCTGGATGTTGCATTTTTGTATAAGTACTAGAAGAGTGTCAAGGCACAGCAGAGCCCTGACACAGCATGTCCAGATCTCCGTTCTACTGAAACTGCCGAGCTGTACATGTGCTACAAAGCATCTGGGCTGGGGCTGGCATTTAGCCTTTTAGGAGAACATGCTGAACCCTGTCATTCTCTCTGTACAGTGATCCGTTTTTCATCCTTTCTGCATTCCTGTTTGCAATGGAGGCATTCCAAATGAAATCTGGCACTCTGGAACACAGCTCTGTTCTGGCTCCTGTTTGTGTGCACTTGCTAATGAACCTAATTAACACGGGGGTTGTTCATTTCTAACAGCACTGACTCTGAAGGCACTTTCTGTACCACCAGGAAGGCAGACCTGGTTTGAGCATAAAGTTAATGGGATTTACTCCTTCCCACTGCACATGGTGAATTTGGCTGCTGCTGTGTAAGAGAAAACCCCACCACCTCTAGACCGGAGCCTGCAGATGTGTTCCTCAGTAATTGTTTCTGTGATTTCTTTTTTACTTACAAAAACTTATTTAATATACACTGCTATCTAATTCATTTTGTTACCAATGACATGTTGCATGCCTAATCTATAATGTCTGAGTTGCATCTGTTTTCTGGCAGATTAAAGGTGACAGATTTGTGCTTGCCCCAGTGCAGTGACATGGTGACAGCACTGCTGGAGCAGGGCTGGTTCCACTGACCTGCAGCTCTGCCCCAGCCTGCTCCCCAGCATCCAAGCAAGATGACACCACTTGCCAAAACAAACTTTCACCTCACCGCCCACAGTTTTTGAGCCCTAGCCTTACCTGCGTGTCCAGCCTGCATCCAGCCACGCCGCGGAGCCTGGGATACAGCAGCACCCAGCTGGAAAGAAGCCTCACTGCCAGTAGCGTTCAGCAGTTATGGTCCCAGTCCTGAGGAAGATTAGGGCAATACTTGAATGCAGTTCAAGATTCCTTCTCTATTAAATATGCTTCCTGACATTCCTGCCTGACCTTTTCCATCTGAGGAGTGAGTTGGAACACAAGACAGTGGCTGGCATCAGAGTAGGCAGGAATGCCGGACTGACTGCTTGGCTCTGGGGATAGAAGAGATAAATCCAGGTATTGCCACTGACCTGCACATTAAGCACAGCTGACTTTCGCGGAACCCCGGAGAGTCCCGGGAGGCAGGGCCCGACACAGGTGCGCGGGGTGGGGCCGAGGTGATTTAAGCCCCGGACATCGCCGGGCGGCCGTTTACTCACTATGAGCGCGTGAGGGTAGCAGCTGCTTGTCCCGGCTTCCCAGGTGAGTCGTGGGGGCTTCGGCTTCCCCACCTCTCCCCCTCCTTCCCGTATTCCTCTTCTTTCTCCCCCTTCCCTCTGCCTCCAAAACCTCCGCGCCTTCCCCCCCACCTAGTCCTCCTTCCTTCTCCCCGTATTCCCCTTTTTCCTCCCCATTTTTCCCTTTCCTCGGCCCCCCAAAAACCACTGCTCCTCTCTCCCCTCTACAACTCCTTTCCTCGTATTCCCCTTTCTTCTCCCCCGTCCCTCTGCCCCCCCAGCCCTCCTTCCTTCTCCCTGTATTCCTTTTCTTCTGCCCCTTCCTCCCACGTCCCTCTCCCTCCAAACTTGGGTAGAGCGAGCCACAGAGAAAGCGGGGGAGAGGAAGGAGAGCATCAGGTCTCACCCGGCAGGTGTCGGATGAGCGGCCCGAGCGGGG